TTCAGTTTCTAGAGGTTTAGCCCGTTGTCGTCTAAAATGACGGGGGGTGCGGGCGGTTCTGGAGGCGGCGATTTCGTTCCAGCGACCGACGGGCAGATGGATGAGCTGCGCAGGAAGTCGAGAGTGTGGCGTCATGTGACGCAGGGTCAGAGGATGGGGACGTAGCAGAAGAGGCACGGGGACTACAAGCTCCGCTGCAATTATTGCAAGCATGTGTGGCAGGGCAATTTGTTCAAGGCGCAGCGGCACTTCACGTAGCTGAAGAGGTGCGCGGCGGCAACGATGGATGTGTTTGTGGACATTTGGAACCACACAGAGTACGAGTTCGATGACCGTCATCACCGCGGTATCATGGCGTACATGAGGGAGCATGATATCACGGATAGACGAGCCATGGACGTCCATCAGGGCAGTGGCAGGGGCCGGACGGGTGGGACACAATCACGACCACAGGAGCGTGATGCTGTGGAGGAGGTGGAGGAGTTCCTTGCCGAGGAGGCGAGGCGAGCAGAGGCACGGGGCAGTGAGGAGGGTGGAGCGGCAGGCCCGGCACCCGATATGCCGGGAGAGGATGTGGTTATGACTGCGCGAGGAAAGATGCCGGTGGAGAGTGGAGTTGAGGGCGTGCCACAAGGGCGCAAGAGACAGCGGCGGTCAAGACTGGACGAGGTGTACAATCCGGATGGGCAGGCCGGATTCAGGGACACTTTTTTGCAGTGGGCCTACGATGACGGTATTCCGTTCGCTGCATTTAGGAGGCAGTCATGGCTTCGTCACAAGAAGCAGTTGGCCTCCATGCCTCGCGGAGTGCGGCCAGTTTATCCGTCCTTCAAGGACATCGGGGGCGCTGGTATTGATGAGCAGCGAGGGAAGGTTGCCGCAATGTTGAGGGAGGTCTGTAGTTCGTTTGAGTCGATAGGGGCCACCATTTTGTCGGACGGTAGGCAGTCGCGAGACGCTAGGCCTATAGTCAACTTCCTCGCAGCCGCCAAGCACGGTGCCCTCTTATACGCCACCGTCCAGCGAGACGGTTCACTGTCCGAGACGGCACAGATCGTCCTGAGGAGGTGGAAGGCCATTTTTCGGTCTTTCCCTCCGAAGGACGTGTTGGCCATTTGCACGGACTCTGCGTCGAACTACACGTCGGCCGCAAACCTCCTTGCGAAGGACTCTGATCCGAACATTCGCCGTATCACTTGGCTCCCGTGTGCCACCCACGTGGCCAACTTGATGTTGTCTGACATCGGGACACGGGTTCCTTGGGTTACGGACACCATTTTCAGGGCTCGGGCGTTGGTGCGATTCATTAAATCGCACGGCGAGGCTTATCACCTATTCAGGGTGAAAAGCCGTTTTTCGCCGCACACTTGTGCACCCAGTGGAGACGCGATTCGCGTCTGTTTTTTTTATGTTTGTGTGTTTGTTGGCGAGGCGTAATGCCTTGGAGAGCATGCTTCATGACGACGAGTGGGACAAGATCCCATGGGAGTCGTCGAAGCGTAGACAGGCTCTGTGGGTTTGACAGCTCATCCGCTGCGCCGATTTCTGGCGCAACGTTCAGCACGCTGCTGCAGTCATGACCCCTGTCCACCAGCTGCTGAGGAGATTGGACAGGGGCGGCATGATCATGTCCACGATGTACTCATGGTCACAGGAGTTGGTACGGCAGGTGGCTGCTGCTGACGTCCCTGATGACATGCGGGGGCCTAGCGTGGAGGCGGTGCAGATCCGCACTATGCATATGCTTGAGCCTGCGCACGCTGCGGCGCACCTGCTCAACCCCCGCAGACGCTCTCTCCGTTACTACGAGTCCGCCCGCAGGACAGCTGCGGACCTCGAGGTCGTCACCGAGTGCAACTCGTTTTTGTTGGCGCAGACAAGCAGTGATCGTGTTGGGGATGCATACTTGCGGGTGCGTGAGCAGATGCGATCCTTCCACTCCAGGGTCGGCCACCACAAAGAGAGGGTGACGAGGGACGTCGAGGCGGAGGCCTGTGTAGGGGACGAGGAGACGAGCAGGAGCGCATCATGGTGGGTGGAGCACGGCGCATGCTTCCCGGACTTGCAGGAGATCGCTGGCCGTGTGATGCACATGTGGACGTCCGCCTCTCCTGCTGAGAGGAATTGGGCAGAGCATGAGCGCATCCACACGGCCAAGCGCAA